TCCTCCTCCTCCTCCTCCTCCTCCTCCTCCTCCTCCTCCTCCTCCTCCTCCTCCTCCTCCTCCTCCTCTTCTTCTTCTTCTCCTTCTCCTTCTCCTTCTCATCTTCGTTCCCAACAATGGCTACCATGCTGTCTCGAAGCGGCTTCGGCCATTTAGACGCAGCAGCAGCGACCTTGGGATACATATTGCGTAATGAAAGAATTTCCCACATCTTCAACGGCGAATATGCCACAAGTCTCCTTAGAGGAGGCTTCTAGTTTTCCCTGGTACAAAGAGGCCTCCTGATCTAACAAAGCCATAGAAGATCGATCTTATCGTGAAAAATTATTGCCGCAAGCTTCTGCTACAATGCCTGAAAATCACAGAGAGCGAGGATAACCGACTGGTCTACCATCACCGTGGCACTAAAGTTCACATCGACATGCAAATGATGAAAACTGTACCATGGGCCCAAACCCTAGGGCCACCAGGGTTTGCCCTGTGACTGCAGCTAAGTGTCCCGCATCGAAATCTCTGGACTGCCTGATATATATAGGAGAAATCTGATAGAACTCCTAAGGAGAATATACCGGGCCGAGAAGCGGGCACGGCCGTACCTTTGATCGACCATGTCAACAGATGGGATGTGCGATGTTTTGGCAGCAGATGGAACAAAGCAGAGTGGGGTGAGTTCTCTCGGAGAATGACTGACTTTCTGGCCAACTAAATACTTGATTGGATGATCACACTTAGACAGTCCAAGAGTGTGAGAAAATGGGAGCAGATCCCCAGTTTTGTAAGGGATAAAGAGCAATTCAACAATATAACAATTGGCTATACCACGGCATTTATCGGGAACAACAAAGTTACCGATGTTCATGTGTTTCTTAATATACCTTGGTCCCAAAGATTCTCTCGATCAGATAAGTATACAGGATGTCGATACCGTCACGAACATGGAATGTCGTGAACAGCAACCACTACTACTACTACTACTACTACCGGAAAGAGCGATGCTCACCCGCAGTAACCATTTCAGACTTTATTATGATTACTGCGGAACAAAATTCTGCGTCGATGTTATCATCACACTAAACCGGCCATGGCACATCTCAAGATAGCGGAGGTCTATGACGTGAATGCTGAGGATGGCCCAGGGCGCTGGTTGAACACGTCTAGCAAATACTTGCTCAATTAACATCAGGACTCCACTAACCTTATTTGATGGTTTCCATCGTACATTCCTCTGCACTGGTGTTCACAAATCTCAAGTGCTGAAGCACGGCTGAGATGGCGACAAGACAAGCATATCAACAGAAAACGCGCACCGACTTCGCTGATTTCCTAATTATCCGTCATTTGCTCGAGCTAAAAGAAAGGAACATCAATTTTGCCATGCTACCAATCCCCCAAAGCGAGCCATTGCCTCTCCTCGCAAAGCTATGTTGGACCCAGAAGGATGTGCGTCCACACCTTGCGACGACGCTGACGCCCGAGAAATTGTGGGAAGTTCTCAACACGCGCTTGGCAAGCAAGGAAGTCCGAGGTCTTTATAACTCTCGCTTTCACTAGGCTAAGGGGGATTCATTGTTTGTTCTGATAGCCGCGCTCAAGTAGATCTTGAAAGTCGGATAATTCAGCGGTGAATCCATTGTTTGATTAAGCTTGGACTGAACTTTCAAATAAAGTTGCTCCATCTGGTCTCCCTGGATATCTTAGTCCTTGCTTTGTTGACAACAATACGTATGCTAGTAGCATCTTGATTGTTTTAATACCTCAGGCTTTGTTGCTGAATCAAAAATTTCCTGGGCACTATGAAACGGATGAGGAAAAAATGGTATGCACTACAGGGGTCTTTTCCCTAAAGATTCTGAGGTATTGTAACACTGTCAAGAAAAACAAAGACGTTGCTGCTTCAATACTATCCCAAAAGATCGGGAGTAGAGTCAGTTCAATAACAGGTGTCACAACTCGAATTCAGTCGATCACAGCATGAGGGGTATGTAAAAAATGCAAAGTCGAACAAAGTCAAACAAAGTAGAGCGATAAACAACAGGAACACGACAGTGAACTACTTATGAACTACATATGTACGTAGCAGAGCATCAATGTCCACACGGTGGTAATAGGAGACGTGGCCCATTTCCTCCCAGTAATGAGCCATGTGGTTAGGAGAAATAAGGATCAGTTGGGAGTCAATGTAGGTATCTGGCCAATTTATGTTAGTAATGATCCTTTTGTTTATATATTAAGACTGCCTACCGTCACGGAACCCAAGTCCGGCTACATGACCGCGGCAACGTACAATTCGGGCGCCGACAAAAGGCTCTTCCGTCTCGACACTGATCAAGCCTTTGGAGCCAATTTCTTGGGCAACGAACGAGAACTGGCCACGAGGAACGTTGGGGTCACCTGTCAGCTTGACAGCTTGCAACTGACCTCGCTGTCCAACATCCTCGATATTTTCTTGGTTATCGTGTTCGACCTCGTCCTGCGTGTCCATCATCTGCGACTCGTTTTCATCGCCGTATGCTATGGCCGTGATGTCGTTCTGGAGAACAAGCAAGAATTCACAGCCATGGGCTGAGTAGTCTCCAATCCAAATTCCCTGATAGGGTTTCTCAGGAGTGGGAGTGTAAAGGACAGGATCGAGAGTTGAGCAAGTTAGACTCGCTTCATTTGATACTGGCGACAATCTAAACCTTGGGTTTACCCAGTTCCTGACACGGAATAGCGATTCCGACAATTCCGATAAATTGTTCAGTATTTGCGGTGGTGAGTCCTTCAAATCACGAACTGTGCGTGCCTTACTCGGGATGATTTGTGGCGGCCAAAGCACATCTGGGTTGACCCAAGGTCCTCGGAGGCTTAGTGCAGAGCAAAGCGACAGTGATTTGTAGATATGCTGGACATTCGAAGCTATGGGCATGCGTTTTTCATCTGTCGCTGATTGAATAGATTGTATTGGGGCTGTCCGGGAGGATGGATTAGGATCGTTGAGAAACAAGACGGGATCATCATCCAGCCCCAGATATACACTGGGTTCAAAGGATTGGATAATAACTTCTGGGTGTGATATCCATATTTGAAATTGAGGAGTGCCACGTTCTGCGACGACCTGGTATGCTTCAATCACACCCCGAAGGTTATCATATCGTGCTATGATCAGCATCCCCGTATTTTCATTATCTGCGACCCAGATCTTGTGCTGAGGAATGAACCAGCAAGGGTGATATGCAAGATAGAGGCGGCGAAATGACCTAAAGGGACCTGAGTTTTGGATTGGAGCAGGTAGTCTCTCGTTTACCAGCTTAGCCCATAGCAAGTCATTCGACGCATGATCGACAAGAGTCCAGGAAGTGGCACCGAGGCAGGCGAGATCCGAAGCTGAGAGATAAGACGCAATATCTTGAATGATCTCAGCGGGTAATTTCTCAAGGAACGACAATTGACCTGCGGGTGGAGACATGTGCCCGTCATCAACCGGCTGGTCGCTGGGGCCATCATTTATTTGTTCCTGCGACACTAAAATGTGAGTACTGGGCCACAGTATTTTTATCAAGAGAAATAATGAGACTTACCCGGGTAGAAAGGCTGATAATCTGCATTTTCCCTTCGATGCGCTGAGATTTGTAAGTGGTAAGTACTGTGGGTTGAGCCTCCTCAGAGTATCGTAAATGACATCACCGGGAGACCCAGGAGTAGGGAAAATGCAGGGAGTCACATGGAAGTAAGAATGGAAATCAGACCAAGTAGGAGAGATGCCTAATGTGCTTTATATTGCCTATATTGTCAATTTTGCGGGGTTTCGATTGGAAGAAGCTGCCCGGCTTTCCAGTCCTTTAATTCTTTTATGCCCCAGGTGGAAAGGTCGATGCTATCAAAAAGGTACGTGTTGTGGTAGTGTGGATTATCTCACCTCCCAATCTCCTTCGATTAGCTAAGTATCAGTCTATGAGGATATCATTTGATTGAACGCATGCTATTTTCAACATGCCTCAATGCATATAGACTTAAATGAGAGTATCACGTGATTCAACTATGTTCGTATCACGTGGGACATGTCCTGCTGTCACCTGATCGCCCAAAGAAGCATCTTGTTTACCGTCGCCAGAATAGGCAACATCAATCAGGAACGCGTCTAGGCGCCTGTTGCCTATAGAGCCCCACTTTGTTTGTTTACGTCTTGATATGTGATCTATAGAATTCTCTTTATAGGCCTATCCCTGTGTACTTTTTAATAACCCACTTCTTTGTTTGGGCTTTCATCTTCCATTATCGTCGTCTTTTCAACATGGATACCACTCTGTCAGGAAGGAAACGGAAGAGCTCTGCCTCAAATCTAACAAACGATTCACCAGTCTCACGCCGGACTAGACAGAGCTTGTCAGCTGTGCCAAAAGATGCCGGCCTCAATCAACAGCGAAAGAGAGTATCTGTTACACCCAAGAAATCAAGAAAGAGTGTTCGGTTTTCCGACCCAGGTCCCCGGTTATTACATGATGAAGATGTTGGATCAACCGGCTTGACTCCAGCGATGCGTCGAACATCATTTGAGACAGAGTCTGGAGACCACACACCTAGCCGCAAATCCCGACGCAGGTCTGCCCCAACACCACGCTTCCAACGGTCGTATGACCCGGAGGAACCGTTTGATGAAACATGCACCGAGCGGAGAATTCAATTTACTCCGCTGCGCCAAATTCTAGATACACGAACCCAGAGAAGAATTAGGCGAATCGGGTTGAGTGATGAAATCAATAACATTGAGCGTGAAAAACGGCAGACGCGCAACATGGAAAGGACCATGCAAGCTTTGCTTCAAGAGCGAGACTCCCTGAGAGATGAACTCAGAGCTGTGAGGCAAAGTGGAATGGGCTTTGAGGACCAAGTTTCAGTGGCTGAATCCTATTGGATGACACCAAATACACCCAGATTTGGCGAGGAAATTTCAGTGGTTTCTGATCACAATCTGGATTACACCACCCCATTTTCGAATGGTGATGGAGAGACTTTCGTGTTCAATGATAGTGCTATCATTGTCTCCAGCTCCCCTGATTTCCGTGGAGCTCGAGGTCATAATCCACCCGTCACTGATAGCTTGATGTTATCCGATGAACCTCAAACGCCCACTCGCACCGCTCAAACGAAGAATCCAGTCAACACAGAACAATCTGAGATCCATTCCCTGACTCTTAACCTGGAAGCTGCCAGACAAGAAAAGAACGAATTGTTCAATGCATGTCGATCACGAATCTCAGGGTTCAATGACCCTACGATCAGTAACATTTTCCACCAGTCTTCTCCACCATCGGATTTCTTCAAGAATCTTATAGAAATTTTGGAAAATGCTCTCTCTCGTGCTTCTGATGCTGCCGAGGCTCTTGAAGGAGTTGCACAACAATGCTCCGGTCTAGGTTTCTCCGGGGACGGTATTGACGATGTCATATCGGACATGCGGAGCCACTTCCGCTTAGCTCGTCTTGAGCTTGAGCGTGCACTGCCTGGTGAGACTGCCAACGTCAGCCTTGAGAACGGTAAGGCAACCTTGGGTGCGCTGGTACAGCGTGTTCAGTCACTTGCAAAAGATCTGGGGACGGAGCGCCACTACCATCACGGTTCTCTCGGGCGAGAAAAAGCTCTTCAAGGGCAGTTTGATGATTTATTGCATCGATATGAGACAGCTATAAGCAAAATCGACAGACTCGAGGATTCAATCGCATCTTCCGCGGGAGATACGCTCCAAGCAAGAATACGAATCCAAGACCTCGAGCGCGAAGTCCAAGAACAGGCTGTTGGGATTGACAGATTAAGCACGGCTCTCGACAAGTACCAATATGAGATGAAGAATCTCGAAAATCTCGTCGAAAATCTTGAAAAGCAGAACACAGCTATAAAGGAGGACTACAGCCACCAGATTTCTAAACTTAAGAAAGAAGTGGCCCATGAACGCTCAAGGCGCTGTTCGGCTGAGGCTACTGCTACCAAGTCTGGGTCTCGCATCCGAGAGTTGGAGAAAACCGTTGAGCACAACCGAATTCGGGCTTGCGACTTGATGGCTCAAGTGGAGCTTCTTGAGAAGGAATATCAAAGGGCCGTGGAGACCCTTGACCAAAACACCAGTGAACTTCAAACGCACGAAGTAGAGACTGGGACTCTCAATATTCGCATTTCAGACCTCACCACATCACTGCATGGCGCCAAATGTGAAATGCGGCGTCTTCAAAATGTCAATGCAGGCCTTGAAGAACAGCTTCAGCTAGAATTAGAAGCTCGAAATGAGCTTCTGGATAAGTGGGCAGCTGATCAGGTGCGATCGTTCACCCACATGAAGGAGACTATCGACTCGGAACGTCGCAGAGCCAAAGTTCGTGCGGCTAATTGGGGGTTAAAATCAGACGATCTCATGTCAGATAACACTACCTTGGGCATTGGGAGTGAACCCATTACTCCCGTTAGCGCTCGATATGTTGATGTCGAAGTCGGCCGTGGCAAAGACCGGCAGCGTCTGAATAGTGTCGAGATATCAGCCGAAATTTCGCATGTCGGCAGCGGTATCGGATGCGATCTACATCTTCCCGCATCAGATTTGCCTTGATTTCTGTATAAATTCTAGATGCTTTTGTTAAAAAAAATTTCAACACATCCTTACTGTGATCAAGGCTTGAGCACATATTAAATTATGTTCCTGAACATCCAACCCGTCTACAGACAATCTCCAGATATTAGGAAGCAAGCTCAGATATGTTCGCTGTCTGGAAGCCATGGAAAACTCCCACCCCTTCCAATGCCATTTCACTCCACAGTGAAAATAAAATCTCCAGCCCTTTGCCTCATGAGAAACTGCGGCTCCCTTCAAGTGCCATAGACCTCATCATCCAGCATCCCCTGAATCGGTGGGGCTACTCGCTTGACCTCTTCAACAGCGACCGCTAAACTTAAGCCAGTACACTGTTCCTGACAATTATGGAACGCCTACACACAATTTACTTCACCCCATCCGGCCGGAAGGCTTCATTATCATCAGTCACAAGTCGACCATTGTGACCGCCCTCGCTTTTAAATCTAAGTCTGTATGCAGACTCCAGCACATTGCTCCCTTCCGCAGAATGGACCCTTGCCAAAATGAATAAAATCTACAATATGGCCAGTCTGGCCAAAGCGTTCACTCTGGCAGCCGCACTGCGCGTTATTGATGAGGGCTAAGCCTGGACAAAAACTTTGCGTCCTACATCGCCGAGCTCGCAGCCAGTGGGAAGCAAAATCACTGCTCTGATGCCATTGACCAACACAAGTGGCTTCACTCCAGACCCTTTGTCTAGACCGTATGAACTACCTTATACGGCCATGAAACAGCGCGTTTACCCGTGACTTTAACATGACCAGCACCTCCTTCAACAAAGGCAATTACTAGTCCCCTTTATTCCGCCACTATGCACGCCTGGCACCGATGTAACACCATGCTGGCCCATGGTGTGGATCCTAATCGGAACTGGGCGAGTAATGACATTATTCAGGGGGTGGTAGGCTTGCCCGCTCGCTTGGTCAGGATGTTTCCCTTTCCATACCGTTTTGGTTAGAGAGTGTTTTTTTTTCGCAACTACAAAGCAAAACTTGCGTATGGTCAAAACATGTATTACGGTGTTATATGATCAAGTGCTATTCCAGAAACATCTTTCTGTCCGCAAAACAAGAACGAACCCCCAAACTCCCGGACAACGCAGACAAATCACGTCAACTGTGAAGCCTACTTGCTTGTCATAGCTTGGGGCTGAAGCTCAAAATGCTGCTTGTGCTCCGATCGAGCAAAAATAGCCCCAAAGAGATTGGGAATATCGTTACAGCGAAGCATCATGCGACAACACAAGGTAAATCCCGTAACCACAATTTCCTCTTGTGCGGCTCTATCATTTGCTCTGGGTCCCATGAACTCGATCTTACCAATTTTGGTGACATCCCAGGCTTTAGCAGAGAATTTTGCCACGGGCATCTGCTCCTCATCGACGCAGACAAAGTCCCCAGTTCTTGAACCCGCAATCGCTATTCCATGTCATTGTGACAGGAAATTCGGTGTCAGAAAAGTTGAGTGAGCGGTGGGTGTAAACCGTTCGCCAGCGTTTCTGGGCCAGTAGGTGGGCCTTTTGTCCACGTAGTTCGTAATCTGCATTGATGGAGATTGCATTCAGCTTGCCTATTCCGATGACTTCTTCGTTGAGGGCTTTTTTGAACACCACGTTGGCTGCGAGACTGGAAGGGGCATAATGGATAGTGTACAAGGGGTCTGAAGTGTTGTTGACGTCTGAGACAATGCCCTTCCACTTCTTCCATTTAAAGTCAACTGTGAAGGCGAAGCTTTAGGGGGGAAGTCTGGGTGTATTGGGGATTATCGTATGAAGCCATTTTGTTTGAATTCTGCTGTCAAGAATGGCTTCTTGGAAATAGAACAGGTTTGATTGAGTGGGGGATATCGGTTCAGGCCAATTTGATTCCTTAGCAGTAACTGAGAGCTGAGTCTTATATTGTGATTTCTTTCTGGAATGAACTAGTCCTTCAGAAGGGAAATTACAACCATTTGTATACTTATCTAGCTCATCTCACCAGGGGCCTAACAGAGTCTTGGCAGCTCCACTCATTTAAAGTTTGTCGCACTAACCTCTTTGGGTGCCTTCCACCGCTCCAACCAATCAAATCTGAGTTTGGGGCTTTTCCGGGGGCCGTGATGTCAACCTCCACTTGGATTTGGGGGCCAGCTGATCAGGGCTGTGTTTGCATCTACAAAGTACGAGGTGCTTGGATAGATCAACAAATAGAGCAAACGATGGTAGCCACCATCCCTATACTTACAGCGCAGGGATGGCCGTTAAAAACAGTTCTCTCTTTGTAGTATGTTATTATAGGTAGATTCAACGCATTCGAAATGATTAGTAGATCACAAAAACTGATGTTGGCAGCTTACATTATTCAGATGTCTTCAACACAAAAGGGGGCTTTCGTTGGTATTTAGGAATTTTTGTGGTATGAGCTTCGACGCCGAAGGATTATTTCTTATCAATACTTGATTGTCCTCAAGAACGATGACGTTGTTGGGCGTCAACCCTATAAATGGCCACACTTCAAACAATCTTCTTGTGACAGTGTTCGTCTTTTGCAGAAGATTCGTATCAACTCGCTCTACTACTTGACCCAATCATGGTCAGCCAAGACACCAACGCAAACCAGCACCGCTTGAAGGTGACGGCAGGCGCAGACTATAACCTCAAGACTCATCAAGTGGTACCTGTAAATGGCGAGACAATACGAATCGAGAATGAGCACGCTATTGTGAGTCTCTGCATACGGATCAAAGATTACACAGGTGATATACTTGCTCTCATATGTTGAGTCAATGAATGGAGCTCATCTGTCAAATAGGCTATCCCGAGAGTTCACCATCCACAAGCCCATATTTCGACCACCCCCTGCATACAAAAGACCTATATTCCATTTGCTTCTCGATCATCTTCAAAGAGTCGGTGAACGGCAACAACCTCTTCTTTGGCAATGACTTCGATCATCCAATCCGCGACGTGCTACCTCCAGGGTTTAACGCAGCGCTACGGATGGTCAAGTGGACACTCGACCCTGGCCTAGACGGCGATGTTTACGCTGACCGTCCTTACCTGTACAGCCCGGCATTAGCATCGTGGGACCAGTTCCGGATTGGAGATAAGATGCGCATATCTGACGAAGTGCCAACGCTTCATGATGAGATTGTTGAAGAAGGCTCTTACAGTGAAGATTCTGCCAAGGTGCGTCAGCAATTTAATATCCCTGAAACAGTCGAGGAGCGCAGAAAGCATTTCCAGGATGAGGCGAATAGAAAGGAGTTTGACTTTGAGCCGGGGAGGATGTATGTTGCTGATTTTGGAAATCCTTATTTGGCATTCAATGGTGGGTGAAAAGCAGATTTGCTCTTCTAGTTGGGTTCGTTCTCACTGATTAAAATAGACTTCTCTGTCCGTCTTCCTGGATTCAATCTACACATCATGAAGTACGTGGATGAGAAGAACCACGAGCTGCGGTATACGCTCAAGGATGTTTCAAACGGTCGGGTGTATCTTGCTGTTGTATTCTCGGTGATCCTGGGTGAAACGAAAGACCGGGAAGACCGCAGCAAGAGTGAGCAACGTGACGAAAGCCTAGGGAGATTTGACTGGGAGCCGAAGCCATCGTCCGGCGATGTTGAGTGATACGTTTTGTCGATGTAGCAGAGTGTGCTGTTTTATCTAGATAAGGGTTTTGTACATTTAGATTGTTGGCAATGCATGCAAGGGAAAACAGTAAATTCATCTCTCTCAAGTGTCATGTGCAAACTTTGATTTACATATACAAGTTTATGTTTACAGTCTCTTCAGGACATCGTCCAACACCTGCTGAGTGGTGGCCTTTCCACCCATGTCGGGGGTGAGGAACTGAGCAGCATCCAGGTTACCATCGACAGCAGCGTAGATCTGAGCAGCGGCCTTTTCCTCGCCCAAGAACTCGAGCATCAGAGCAACACTGCGGATCGTAGCAATGGGGTTGGAGATACCCTGGCCCTCAATGTCAGGGGCACTGCCGTGGCAGGGCTCACCGATAGCGAAGCCATCACCGACGTTGGCACTGGGAACGAGACCCAAGCTACCAACAAGGGCAGCAGCGCCGTCAGAGAGGATGTCACCGTAAAGGTTAGGGGCAACAATGACGTCGTAGAACTCAGGCTGGCGGAAGAGCTTGTAGACCATGGAGTCGACGATCTGCTCCTCGACAAAGACGGAAGAGAACTTCTCGGCGGCAAGAGCCCGGCGCGCGGTCTCACGGAAGAGACCGTCAGTCTGGGAGAGCACGTTCGACTTGTGGGTGATGGTAACCATGGCCTGGTCACGGGTAGAGGTGGCGGGGGAAGCGGAACGGATTTTCTGGCGGCGGAGCGCAATCTCACCAGCGATGTTGGAGATGCGGAAAGAGGCATGCTCAGAGATGCGCTTGATGGCCTCGGCAACCTTTCCGTTGGGGCCCTCGATGGTGCGCTCTTCCTTCACGTACAGGTCCTCGGTGTTCTCGCGGACGATGACAAGGTCAATGGGCTTGCCATTGGTGTTGCCGGCGGTGGTCTTGACCGGGCGGACGTTGGCGTACAAGTCAAGCTTCTTGCGGAGAGCGACAATGGGCGAGGAGTAGCCGGCGACCTTGGTGCTAGGGGAGCTTGAGTTGGTAGGAATTGTCAGTCGAAATTGTGCATGCAGAAACAAAGGTAATGTTGCTTACCTGACAGCGCCAAAGAGAGCACCGTCACACTCCTTCTTCAGGGTATCGACAGTCTTGTCGGGCAGAGCGGTACCAGTCTTCTGGAAGGTCTCGTAGCCAGCATCGAGGTCGACGAAGCTGAACTTGAGGTTGAGGGAAGAGGGGAGAGATTCAAGGATCCGACGGCCAGCCTAAATTTCATCAAGCAATATTTACTCAGTGAATTGGCTCCCGTATCAAATCTTGAAAGAGCTACTTACCGGGATGACCTCCCGTCCGATACCGTCTCCGGGGATGAGACCTGTAAGATTTCGGTTATGTCAGTCAATTGCCGAGCCACGAGATCACCAATCAAGGACAATTGTACCAATGCGAAGTGTCCGGGCAGCAGCCATTTTGATAGACCTTTTGAAGAGTTGCTTTCTTGAAATCGATAATCGCCGTCATCGGAGCGTTGCGTTTTGTGACGGCGTCGGATTTTTGTTGCTCCGAAGAATCGGTCCGGAGAAGCGGCGACCCTATACGAAGTACATTGCTGTAGACTTACCTTTCTGGCTCAAATTCTATAAAATATAGGTGACGAGACAAGATTAAAAGGAATGTGTGTCTTTGAAATATTCAATTCAAAAGTAAATAACACAGTCGGCAGGAAGTATATTCTAAGATTGCGGATATGTGCGCATGCTCAGACTACCCAATGGGTCCCTTCTCGCGAAGTTACATATGGGTAACATTTACATATTCCTCCTTGCAAGGTTTTTTCGTGGCTTTGCCGAAATTTAAAATGTCCATCTTCATCGTGCTCCTCAAAATCTGCAGGTTCATCCACGTTAAATTCTATATTAACGCTTAACCCAAATCGGTCACTTACCGCGATGTAGATCCACCAACATCGAGTATACAGTGTTGACAGAATTGAACCCAATCCTCAGAGTTGATACTTAAAGCAGTCAAAATCACGCTCCACTTGTCATGATTGCATTCGATTCCGTACTTCACTATCACCCCAAACTTACTGTTCTTTCGAATCCAGGGCTCATGGCATTCAATCCTCTGTCTCGTTTATCAGACTCGCCAATCACAGCTGGAAGACGGAACATTGCCATTACAGAGATTTTCATATATTCCCTTATCCACATTGTGCAGTTCAACACAAGATGCATGCAAAAGTGGCGATACTGGCACCACAACAAGAACAAGAGCAACGGGTACTGTGTGTTCCATTCTTGGCGGAGCATGGTCGGTCTTTTGGCGCAGAGTAAGTGGAAAATATCCCGGCTACTTTATAGATAGGGCCATTAAATCCTTCAAAGTTCGCATAGTGGGCTCGACCCTGCTTCTTGCTAGCTCACATCCGGATAAGCCAATGCTCACAGCTGAATCCATTTTACAAAGCGTGGGCCTTTCGCCGCTCTTGTTTGAAGTTAGCCAGGTCTCATTGCGATGATATATTGAAAATTCCCTAGGCCCATGAGATGTCATTATTCTTCTAGAGACGAAAATGCTGACGATGTTTCCCCGAAAAGTGGGCAATTCGGAAAACCTGGTCTAGGAAATTCGAATTGGACCAGGCTAACACGGTTTGCTTTGCATTTCTTTCATTCCCCGATTTTTTTTTGGCCATCATGCTAGCAGTGGCGTGTGAATATATTGACATGCGCGCATTGGGAGAAGCTGGATCCATTGTTTTTGTTGTCATTTTTGCCTACGTGTGCGGTCTGGTTGGTTGGCTTGCGTTAAAATCGCGGTCGATTCTTCCCCAGTCGGGTCACCATGCCGTGCTTTTGACAGGGTTGCCTCTTTCCATTTTTGTTGGTTCGGGTTATTTTCTTTTTGGGGGTATGGACCAGACCACCCAAGCCCAACCCAGCCACTGGTGATGTCGGCTTCTTGGTTGATATGGAGCTTCTGGTGGAGATCATAATTGTCATCTTACTGATGATGGCACACGCTATAGCTAAACCGGTTTTGCCGTTGATCATTTTAAGCGCATCGTACACGATGACCTGGAATCGACATGGAATTGAGCTAGGTCCCTTGAGCATTTCTGAGACCGGCAGTGAAATGGCGCAGCGAGGTACTGCTTGGAGAAAGGCTTGGAGAGTTTGCATTGACTCGTAGTTTAATGCACTTTGCTTGTTATCACATGATAATGTGATAATTCTCTGGCCGAGTAGTTCCGTAAATATTTGAAAAATATTAAAGGCGGGTCAAGATCCAAGATCTTGTCACTAGATCTGCAACTCAAATACCACGCGGAGAGGAACCCCCATTCGATATGGACCCATTACTCCCACACTATTGTATTCGACCGACTTGCAAATATGAAAAAATGGCTTCATTTTCACCGGGGTAGCCATAAGGTTTCAAAAGTGCATGAATGATTACCAGATAGGAATAGTAACCGCAGTCGATAGTTGCATAGCTCACATCTGTACAATTGAGAATGATCGGATGTAGTTCATCCCTTGTTGAGGAGGTAGTTTTTGCAGCCGGTGGTGCGATTTGAGAAAATTGCTCATGCCATATAGCCAATTTCATCTGCATCTCGAGTGTTTCGAACAGGATATTTGAAATTGTTTGCAGAGCTTCGGCACTGGTGGTTACGATGTGTCTCAACCCATAGAGCTTATGCACAAGTCTCGGAGCATATGTGAAACATGCAAAGAATATTTCGATGATGTTGTTTACTTCTGGGTGCAAATCTGATGTGTATTGCCGTTGCGTCTTATCATACCATTTATCGGAGGCTTAAAAGCACTCTTTACCGGAGAACATTGAGTGCATCACCTATTCGAACATTAGCGTCTATTTCAAGTTGCAACTGATTTATATTGCTACCCAGAGATATTTAAGGCAAAGGTCCAGGGGATAGTTCAAACCTACAATCAACCCCCGAGCAGCTTTTGGTAACGTTACATCCAGCTCAGTGTTGAATCTATCTGGCCCTCGAATCCGTACCAGCTGACCGAGCCCTTTGGCATGCTTCATCCACGACTCTGGGCGCACGCAAGGCTTCCCCATAAGCTGATCGGGCGTACGACACCATTTGGCTGTTTTTTGGTAGTGCACCCAAAATGATAAGCTGTGAAAGACCTTATTGTGGCATCCAATGCTCGAGTTCGGCCATAAATGGTGGGAATAAATCCATGCCTTCGGACCACAACATGTGTTGGACTGGGAGTGTGTGGTTGAGAGAAATCGTCAATGAGAACACAAATATGTTGCACAACATTCATATCCGCAGAAAGAAGAGTGGATAGCTTCTCTCTCTGGGTCAAATCCTGGTAGGTTGACTTAAAATCAAGTGTAGAATTCGAGGCTGAACTCTTGGGGCGTATTCCGTCCAAATTATCATTCTTTGGATTGGGTTGACGCCAATCCCGATGTGGTTTTCCAGTAATAAACTTCAAGCCTCGGTCATATCCAGGACAAGATTGCCCATACTGGTCGCATTTGGCACAATCAGGAAGTTTTTGGTCACACTGTGGCGTTGTCATTGTGGTGTGAGAGTTTTTGGCCGGACTTTACGTAGATAACCCTCGCACCTTGACTCGTCGTGTAAGGCATAGTGAGCAGCCATTACTCCGAGGTACACCGACCATTGTGAATCATAAGATCACATTAAGTCAAAGAGGCTACTCCATAGGAGAAGCCTCGTACGGGAGGGTCAGATACCGTCACATGTTCCCTTCGGGCGTACCCCGAAATCTCCCTTCATTGGCTGGAAGGTAGGGGGTACCTAGAAGTGGTTGCATACAAAATAACCTTGTATCAAGTCCCCTGGTAATTGGCCGTTTGTCTTGAACTAGAATCAATGTGATGTGCGGAGTACATGTCATGTACCATCAATCTCCCTAGGTATCAAAGTAAATTGTGAGACTTGAATTTCTTGGGTGATGCTATTATCACCTTCATATAAAATTCCCAAAACCATGATGTAAACCAGGTATTGTGATACATGTGGCTTCCAGTAATATCCAAGGTGCTAAAACCATGAAAGTCTTGCCAACAGGGCCCAAACTGGGGAAATTTCCAGTTCGGATTGATCTGTGCTGATGCTCTGCCTCAGGCATCCCGATGCCCCTTACTCGAGATCCACTTGTGTAGGTGTCCAGATCCCATGTTTCAAGACCTCACAGGGGGTTTCAGTACGGAGTACTCCATACAGTAAAATTAAACAAGACCCCTCATGGTTAGGTCACCTGTCACATAGAAATGAAAGCCCCTGAGACAGGGAGGTCTGTACGGAGCACAACGCAAGGCGTTAGCCTATTGGATACGCTAGCCACAACTAGCGCGTATGTATGTAATAGTTTCTGGAATCCTTCTTCACACCTTGTGTCTTCTTGTCTCAAACCAATTCTCTATCAGAATTTGACGCATTGAACCCGAACCCTCCTAGGAACATGCAGTGGGATCTGCCTGTATCCGATTAGTCGCCACAACAATCCCGTTTCGACCTGATTTCAGTAGCCACCCCTGCGCTCTACATACGGAGTACGCGTCTCCAACTTCTCCTCGGTCGCAGACACGCCCTTGTCCGACTGACGTACCCTCAGCTATAATGTCCGATAACAATCCCCATCACCCTGGGGTACGCAGCTTGTTGGCTAAGTTTGAGGGCCAGAGCCCCGTCGCCTCACCTCCGCCTCGTGGCCGATCCCCAACTGCGTCAGACTCGTCGGGAACAGTTCGGCGGCTGTCCAAGGTTCGAGCTAGCTTCATCAATGTGAACGGGGTTATTCAGTCGAATCCTGCTTCGCCTTTGAGGAAAACAAGTGGGCGCAGCGGTAGTCCGGGAATCTTTGGACCGAAAATCAACTCGGGGGATGCGGAGTCAGGACGGCAGGTTGTGATCTCCCCCACCCCACTCAGCCGCCTGGACCACACACAGCACGCGACTCTGGGGCAGACAATAGCTGAGGGTCGACCGGAGGAAGCTATTGGAACAAAGAGTGAACAGAATAATCCTGCCAAGGAGGAACCCACAGCGCGCACTGAGAATGAACTTCGGTCGTATAACACCTTACCAAAGCAGACAGATGAGTCTACGGCCACAGATTCCAAGTCGACAATCTCAGACGCTCCTTCGCAAAAGTCAGATTCGTCAGTTATTATCAAGAAGAAGTCTTCTTCCGTTGAATCTGCCCGTAATGCGGCGAGCAAAGCCGTGCCAACTACTGCAGCTTCAACTGATGCGAAGCCTGTTGCTCACAATTCAAGCTCCAAGCCCATGGCCCGCGAAGTGGTTAAGGAACGCGCCAACTCCCTATCCCAAAAACCAAGTCGTGTCTCACTGAATCCCAAGATAACAGCGCGGTCAACCCGCGGCCCGGCACTGGCACAAGGTACTTCAAAGCCACGTGCCGCAAGTGTATCTAGCAAATCAGGAATGAAATCCCCACCGAGACCTGTCCGTGTACCTGGCTCGGCAAATGCTTCAACCCACGCACCTGCTGCTAAGCTAGGAAGCACAGGTGGTCCGAGCACTCGCACTACTACCAGTGCATCAACCCTCACAAGAAAACCTTCAACCCTCAAAAGCGCAACTGGAGCTCAGCCGCGTGCCACTACTCCTACTACCAGCAGTCGCAGACAATCTTCTCGCCCTTCGCCGCCCGCTCAAGCAGCTCATGACATAAGCACCAAGCCGGTGAATGAGGGTTTCCTTGCGAGAATGATGCGTCCTACTGCTAGCTCAGCGAACAAGTCCCACCCCCAGGAAAAGACCGATATAACGCCTATCACCAGAACAAACTCTGTTTCCAAGGCCACTAGGTCGTCAATTGGGAGGGTGCCAGATCGTGGCCCCCACCAGGTAAAGTCGAAGGGCACTGCCCTTCGACCCCAGAGTCAGAAATCCCAGCCTCTGAGCAACGAACCTGCTCCACAGAAAGATGGCCATAGACCTTCCCAAAAGAAGGAGGAAAGTGTGAAAGAAAAAATGGTGGAGCACATCACAGCCAGTTCGATGGAGGCTGTAACAGTGGAACATCCCGAGGCTGCTGCCACACCAGTTGAGGAGCCTGGCCTGGAAATTGCCAATGCATCTGCTAAGCCAACTGAGAGGTCGGTAGAAGTGCCTGAGCCGATCGCCGAGGAGACAGTGGCTGAGAGCTACTCCGATTCGGTTCCAGTCGAAAATTCTACCGAGGTGTCAGCCGAGTCTATCGATTTCAAGGAAGTCCAGGCTTCAGCTGAGGCTGTGGTGGATGCTCATGTTAAGTCCCTGATTGAGCCAATCGCTGAAGATGCCGAGGAAGAGAAGGCTGCTGAGACTTCTACCGCAACCGAAGAGACAGTCCCAGAGCCCGCGGCAAACCCGGCAGCTGACGATCAAGTGGAGGTCGGTGAGACGCAAAAGACCTTGGTGCCTGAATCAGAGGTTCTTGAAAAAGAAGACGATGGGCCTGCAACTGAGGCTAACTTGAGCAATGTCGGCATCGATATTACCAATTTGGCACAGAACTAGACGCTCTACATCAGAACTGCACTGCGTTTATCTAAACTGGATTTCGCTGGCCCATCTCCGCTTCTGGCGAATTTTGGAACAACCTTTAAATCTCTCCGGTCATACTCTTCACTGTTGTCTTCTGTCTCACCAAGCGTGAGCCTCTTTTCATATATCATGGCTTACCCTCAACCTGTTCACCACACATTCTTCCGCGTCTCTTTTTTCCCTCTATGCCATCATTTTTCCCTCTATCAGTGTTTTGGGTTGTCTTGTTATTCTTTTTTTATCTCTTGCATACTCTATGCCCAATTCGTGGGCATGTTTTTCTTAGCGCTTAGGGGCATCGTCAAATTTAGCATCTTGGTTTATCAATGTACCAGAACTCAAAACTTTCACACTATCATTTTCTCAGTTCACGCATAGTAAGCACTTTATTTTCTCATCAAGTCGAGAAGCTGAACGATATCCTTATCCTAGCTTCTTTGGTACCTCTTAGCAGCTGGCCTGGTGATAGCAGGCACTAAAGGTGATGGTGACCAGCAGAGATCTCTAACAAAACAGAAAGATGCAGAATTTCAAACCCCCACCCAACAAAAAGAGGTTCAGAATCTCCTCTCAAGCTTCTTCAGGAACCTGTTCACACCACCCTCCAAGCGCTCTGCTGTGTCCTCCAATTTCCTCGGCCGCTGTCCGGGATTTTTCATGGCCTTCTGTGCATATTTCTGGTAGCGAGAGCTAGCCTCCATCTCAGTGGGTCTATACAGCTGGCTATGGATATCATATTCAGAACCAGCACGCTGGTGTTGCTGCTGCTGCTGCTGCTTCTGCGATCTGGTCTGGTCATACAGGTAGTTTGAGAACCCACCTACTGGTGCTGTCACCCCGGCCTGATACTGAGGTGGCGACTGGGCCGGGGGCTGGGAAGCCCCATAGACCTGCTGATCATATATATAGGCATTCGGATCCTGCGGCGGCGGAGCAAATGTCATTGGGCCTTGCCGGCTCGCGTTATACTGCGGACCCCCCTGTCCAGCGAGGAAGGACTGCGAATATGAAGGGGCAGGCCTTCCGGGGCTGTGGACCGAGGGTTGAGCAGTGGAAAAAGCGTTTGAATGTTGTAGTCCCGCACTAGGCGGAGGAGAGGCGAATACCGGTGGCGCTGCAACTGGAGGGCCTGCGTATTGCAATACCGGGGTTGAGGGGGGCGGGGATGCATATCCACCCACGACTCCTGCACCACCCATCATTTGGTGCGGGGGCGTATATGGAATGCCATTATCGGCTGCCACTGCGGCTTCGAGGCCTGTGCCGCTTATCCCGTCCTCTGGCGGTGGGGTCTTCTCGCGGTATTGGATTGGCTCTGGGGCAGCTGGGGCGGCTGGATTGTATGGGAGCGGGGTGAAGCTAGCTGGGTCGTTCTTTTCCTCAGCGGGAGTCGAACCAGCGCTACATAGTTGATCGACTGGAGGCCCGCTTGAGGGGGCGGGGGGAAGCTGCTGATTTGTGGGGTCGCCTGTGGCACTGGTACCGCTGTGCTTGTGGGCTCAGATCTTGAGTTGCGTGTCTGACCATTCTGGTAGGCAGGATCAGAGACCGCAACTGTCTCAAGTTGCTGGACCACAGAGCTCATTGTATGCTGTAATTGCGGGACTGGCTCTCTGTCTGTCTCGACCTGGGCATTGGATAGAAGCCGGGTAACAGTGTCCAGAAAGTCGGTTACATCCTCTTGAGTCCAGAAGTAAATATCCAATGTGTGCAGGCGAGGGAAATCGCGGGGTTCCTTGGGATCATCGCGTGGGTCTCCGCTAGGTAGACGCCACTCACTTTGAGTATCATGTACATATTGATGTTGGGGTGATGCCATGTGTGCATCGACCGTTAAAGTACATAGTGTTGGGAACTGAGCCGAGTGCCGTATATGGACATTGCTCAAGCCGCCACAGAATGCATCCTGCTCTGGAGATCCAGGATTATTGGCAATTTCTATCCGTGCCTTGTTTTGAAAAACTTCATGATAAATATAAACATAGGAGCCCTTGTCAAAGCGGTGGTGATATGATAAAGGTCTTCCGGTTGGCTCGGTGAAGTAGTAGTGAATATCTGCAAAGCTATTCTGGCCGTTAGATATAATCCGAGAACTGCTTCATCTGAACCTGCGAGGAAGTCAGCTCAACTCACACAGTCACAAGGCGCTCTTCGCCCACTGATGGTGGCATGTCCGGCAAATCAAAGTACGGAATGCAAGTATACAACGATGGCAGCCAGAAGATTAAAAAAAGGAAAAAGAGGAACTTACGTTTATTATTTAAAATTTTTGGATTGAGGGGTATTCAACATGTGAAACGCCAGCATCAACCGCCATGCAAGCTGGGCGCTTAAAAGATGTAGATGTGATGTGATAGGACAGTACTGGTACCTGGCCATCACACCTATCCGCAACGGGCGAGAAAGTACCGGGAACCTGGACCAGACCGCGACCCGGAAGTACAGTTTATCCGAAAATTTCCATCCTAGATCATCGCTTTGGTTGGCGCTACAACACCTCCTGCTGTGTCTTTGCTTCCCCCAGACAATTGCGGTCCATTGTGGTCATTCTCGGTACTCGCTTTCGTGTATTCGCGATCCTGAAATTTTTTTCTCTTCAAAAATCGATCAATTCTATCACTCTCTTCCTCTCCGAACGGCCGCCGGTAGAGCGTAATTGCTGCCGTCGCGAAATCAAGATGTCTCTCGTCAACCTTTCCGCTGTCTGTGCCCACCTGAACAATGCTACCAAGGCCCGTCTCGCCCTCACCTCTATCCCTAACAGCAACCTCCACCTGAAGCTCTCTCTCGCTCTCCAAAATTCCGGCTACATCTCCTCCGTGGCCCGCGGAGGTCCGACTCCTCCCCCAGCCCATGGCATCCTCGGTTACCCTGCAGTCAACGATGAAGCCGAAGGCATTGAGCCAATAACTCGCGACAATGTTGCATCAAGGCGGCTGTGGCTGGGCCTGAAGTACTGGCAGAACGAGTCGGTCCTGGGCAAGATCAAGATGGTCAGCAAGCCCACCCGACGGGTCAACATTGATGTAGAGGGACTGCGCCGGGTTGTGCGTGGTGAAGAATCCGGGTTTGTGGCTGGACTTCGCTCGCCGGGTGAGAGTCTCTACCTCTCCACAGACCAAGGGATTCTAGAAGCTCGGGAGTGTGTTGAGAAAAAGGTTGGTGGGCTGGTATTGTGCCGTGTACTATAAGTCTGCGATTCTTATCACGGCTTAACTCTGATCTGGGGGAGCTACCACCGGGGAGATTGTTTTCTCTTGCATTTACTTTGGAGTTTGTTGGTTAGTCGCAGCGCTTTCTCTTTTCGAGATGAGTTTTTTTGTGACTGTTGGGATAATACCTGTGTCAAGGATCTGTATATTAGATGTCTGCGTATCTCGCATTCTGTGCTCTGCTGGTGATTTTGCAGCTGTCCTCACTGTGACACAATGTATAGATTATGACTTGAAATATGTCCGTACTGCTCTTCCATGGATGTGCCTGCTACAATATCTAGTGACACCCGTGGGCTTCTTGGGCTGATTTTTTAGTTGTACTCAAACCTCGTGTACGATCCCCCAAGTGTTATGGGTATGGTGGAAGTGATCAAGTATTGCGATGGCCATAACTAAATTATCGTGGGCAAGTTCGAATAGTTAGCCGCTTATGCTTCATGTGCCCTTGAGGGTGTAAATTCAATAATCCGATTCATATAACTAAAAAACACATCTCAGAATACGCGCAAGTGTATTAATTAGATATATGATCCACCTCCGGAGCCACTTCTAATCTTTCTGTTTGGCCCCTCTGTCCTTCGGTTCATCGTTTACGCTCTTCCACTCTCTTCTTCTTCTTACATCACCTGATTTAATATACAAGATCATCTTATCAAATCGTGGACTATTTGTCCTCCTAACCTATCTAGTGATTTTCGGGCATAGACCTACCCACCATGACTGAACCTCAAAGCGTTAAACGTGCGCGAGCTAATACTGCCGGCGATGCCACCACCAGAGAAAACTTCCCAGAGCATTCAGCACCTTTATCGACAAAATGTCACCGACATCCTTATACAAGCAGCGTAAACTCATCCCGACGTTCTAGGCATGGTGGACGATGCCACTCGCATCATCCGGGAGAAGGAGTAAAATCGCATTATTCACTTCGACCATTATTCGCGTTCAGTCTGGAAATCAATCAACATTACTTATCGCTCAGTACGATGTCTCGTTTGAAGATGCCCAAGATGTCGTTGATACCATCAAATCGATCACGAAACAGTGTAGACCATTTGCAAACCCTCAGACACGCTTCAATGGGCTCTCTGTTCTACGCAAAATCGGCAAGACAATCCTTTTTTTCTTCCAACAATGCTCTGGGTCATGAGGTGCAAAAGCAGTTTCAATGGGATGCCTCTCTTGTGGAGGGGATGTTGGAAATTCTCGATTCCATGACGGATGATTCGAGTCCACAATCGTTATGGTCAAAGTTACAGGAATTGGAAGAGTTGGCCAATGGTCATTGCATTCGCCCTGGACTAGAGATAGTGTTGGGTCGACTGGATCCTGATGATCATGAGGATGAAGAAGAAGGAGATGAAGAATAATATGAGGACAATGAGAACGAGTTTAAAGAGTGACGGTGGTTTAAGCATCAAGAACAAGAACCAACTTCAAATCCGAATGAATTGATATGATTCACAGGTCATTTTAGTAGCATCGCTTCGGTGTCATTTCCAATATTATCTGAGATGTTTCGAGGTGGTGCAGTATTGTTTTCTGTCGTAAGTGTTGTGATGTCGCACAGTTTTGTCGACCCGATCCAACCTTCCTCCACATCAAACCCTCCCCCGTGTTGTTTACCCTCAATCAACTTCCACCATGACCGACACGGCAAAGAAAGTCCTCATATCTGGTGGCACTGGCTTTGTAGGCTCGGCCATAATGCGGGCTCTTGCAGAAAAACATCCAAACTTTGTCATCGCCGTCATCGACCAAAGTCCCCCACGACCCGAGCACGCCCTTCCAGAGAGAATTACATATATGCAAGTGAATATTAACTCAACTGAAACTTTGACCAAAGCATTTGAGGCCGTGAAGCCAAATATCGTTGTCCACACTGCTGGAATCGTCCCAGATCTGGCTGAACGGTTCGGTCGCCGACTTGAAAAGGAGGTATGGAAGATCAACTTTGAAGGCACACGAAATTTGCTTGATGTCTCCAAGCATAGTGGGGTTGAAGTCTTCATTTACACGAGCAGTTGCTGTGTGGTGATCGATGATACACGTACCGCCCATCCGAACATCAATGAAGAATGGCCCTTGGCATTCAAGTCAACCATTTATGGAGAGTCCAAGGTTAGAACTACCGACCCATATCAACATTATTCTCGGCATTGACAGCCAATAAGTTGCTAACGCGCTTTGATGTGGTACCTAGGCTGCGGCAGAAGCACTCGTTCTCAAAGCCTCAAGCAGCAAAATGGTGACATGTGCCCTCCGGCCATCGGTGCTCTGCGGACCAGGAGACTACCAGCTATTACCGTCTATTCACGCATGCATTGCCAAATTTGAAACCCCCTTTTTGATTGGAAATGGCTCCAATTTGTGGGATATCACTCACGTCGACAATGCCGCCGATGCTCACATCCTGGCTATAGAGAATTTGCTATCATCTCGCACCGCTGCAGGCGAGGCTTTTTTCATTCAGAACAACGAACCTATTGTCTTCCGTGATTTTTGCCTGGCAATCTGGGCTCATTTTGGGCATATACCGCCTTTTGAAATGCAAATCCCAAGGAGTCTGGCTTACTTCGCCGGGCTGGCATGTGAGATTGTCACCTGGCTGATGGGAACCACAACAACTTTGAGCCGTGGAAGTGTACAAGATGCATGTGCCATTCGATATGCTAGTGGCGAAAAGGCTCGGGAGATTCTGGGGTACAAGGCGCGCATAGGCATCGAAGAAGCCATCCGTTTGAGTTGCGAGGTAAGCAGAAATCACAAGCCAAATTTTTTTTTCCATTCTGCTCACCAAAGCAATCCAGGATTATGCTTCTCGTCTTGGAATCAAATTACCCATCCTCGATGCTGGAAGCCGGGAAAAGCAGTAGCATGTCACGTTGATGGAAAATCACGTAGAATTTCCGACTGCCTGGCAAATGATGAGACCATGAAAATGGTCTGAGGGGTTATTGTTTTTTGGGGCTTGAATTGCTCCTTAGCTTGAATGACTTCATCATATCTCCTATGACCGCTCAGAGTGTTCTTGATAACAATATCTCTAGGCAATCTCGATCGAAGAAGCATAGACATTGGGCTTCTTGTTGGGCTGCAAGGATAGATCGTATATCATCGAAACAGCTGAGCTCTCCACATTTGAAAAGTTTGATATCGGATTCACTCGTCGTTTCATCCGGATCTCCAGAAGAGAGACATGGCCCATGCGGCTTATTACATTGGGCCCCAAAAAAAGCTCGAGTGCCCAACACAAATTAACTGCGCGCGTCTCGGCAGTTGTATGTTACGCCTCCCTCAGCTCATCTTTACATTTCTTCCAGGACCTTTGATGGTGCAGATCACATCTTCTATCTGCACATTTGGGTCTCCATAGGTCAACAATGTCCGAAATCAGAATCCTGGTCCTTGCGTTTTCTACCCAACAAGCTTTGCTGCCCGAGACTTTGCCCCAATGCAATTATCGACTCAAGATGAGGGTGGGACGACACACCAAGGATTATGGTGCTTTTCCTTTAATTCGTGAAGATTGGGGCTTTAGATATAATGTTTGCCATGCGGATTCATGCCATGCACCCACAGAAGCGTCTCACGGCGCCTCGGCTGCCAACGAGCTTTGCACACCGGTCTTGTTCTTGATCGAGATCTTCGAATCAAACGGCACGGACGGTTCATATTCTGTTACGCAATTGGCTTTCTTTGAGTTAACAATGCCCAGGCAACACAGGCCTCATCCCCATAAATTTTGTACCCACAAACGCCACTGGCGTTCCTCTAGCGCGGCTCTGAATCCAGTTACCAGGCTATTGCATAAATATGGGTTGGTTCTGATCCCCTTTGTCAGGCATACTCGCCAATTTTTTTTCGGCCCGGAGAGAGTGGCTTTCCAAAGACGACTATAATACCTACCCTTTTCTCGGTGTTCGTGAATTCATTCTCTCAACAACGCACCCAATATAAATGTGCTTTTCCTCCCGGCTCTTCTAGATCTGGTTTTCGGTTGTGATATTAGGCTGTGATAATCATCCGGCCATATTCTCTTCATGCTTCCTGTCCTTCCTCATCCATTGGCGGGTGGATCGGTCTATCCGTTCTCTTTGCCAGCAAGTCTCGGTTCTTGTGCAAGCGCTATCAACTCTAGAATTGATCATCGGTCTCGCCATAGGTTAGCAGAATCAGCATCGCCATTCCTATAAGTGCGTGCCCAAACTCTTGGAATCCGAAACTCATGCTTTGTCGCAGCACCATGGCTCAGCACTCTATGTATGGAACCCCAACAACCCCTCCAGTGGTCTATCATCAAAGGTATTACTTGGTCATTGTTCACTTCATTGCAAATTTCTCCCAAGCCATCATCGACAGAAATCGGTTTCGTTCCTTTTGCTAAGTGGTCAAAGGTCACCATCTACTCCCCACGTATATGGCTACAGAGACGATCGCCAATTACCTTTCGGTCCCATGGATTCTAACCATCAGACCCATTACCACGGAGGTGCAGTTTCTCGGGATGGCCCCAGACACGTAATGCCTCCACCCACGGGACATCTATCATATCCTCCAGCCGGACAGGCCCACCCACAAACCAGGACTCATGAATGGAGCAATCTAAGCCACATGCCTCGAGAATCTTTAAGGCGGGACCTTGGAACTATGACTCCCCCGGAGAACCCAGAATATTTCATGGAAAGAAACAGCCAGCGAGCTACCGAAAGAACCAGAGGAAGCCCACACTATCATTCCCAGAGACGGACATCCAACCGGGATGAATTTGATGGCCCGCATCAACTCCTGGAGCCCCCTTCTCCCCAGGCTGTCGCGGCCCAGGAAAAAGAGCTTCCCCAGCTCCCTACTAACCTCAATGCCGGCGAGCAAGACAGTATCCTCCACAAGGTCAACGACCGTCTGTCCCAGTGTGCCTATGACTTCATCGCAAAGTACCAGTTCCGTGTTCCTATCGAGCAGGACAAGAGACCCGTCAAGGTCCCCTCGGACCGCGAGTGGACTGAATGGGTATACCTCTTGAAACGTCTGGCTACTACACGCCGCATCCCGGCTCATCTCTTGTACAACCGCCAAATTAAACAGCTTATCACTGTCCTGGAAAACTCTTTGGAGATGCGCCATGCGGCCAAGCACCAGTCTCGGCCAGTCAAGGATGACCGCAATGTGTTGCAGCTCATTTCTGCGGGGACGCAGGTTGCAAAGATCCTGAGGGATGCTAGCGCCATGCAGTTTCTCGATCGTCTTTATGCTGATACCGAGAAATTGATTCTGGAGCGACGCGGCCGTCGTGTAAGATTTGCAGATCCTTGAATTCACTGGATGCCGAGTAGCCGTCTTTTAAACTCCCCGCTTGAATGTCACTGTGCTGTTTCTGTTGTCGTCCCTGGGGGCTCTTTTAGATTGTACTGTCTTTCCTGGTTTTCTCTTCTTCTGTTTTCATGTCCCTTCGGAATACCCTTTTGTCATTTTTGAACTACTTTGGAGGAAAGTTATCCTTGGTGCCTTGGTTTTTTCCAAACAGAACAAAAGCCTAGGCCGCTACCCAGCCTAGATGAAGGGATTGGACACCAAATCCCTCGGGCTGGCAGGAAAATAACCGTCCAGCTCTCGCCGCATGCCACCATATGTGCATCCCCCCCCCCCCCTCCTGGGATGTGTGTCGGCTAGCGGTACGAGAGAAGTCAGGACTTGGGTGGTGGTTTTGTTGTTTTCTCGGTTTGATTTCCATTTTTTCTTCTGGCGTTTGGGTTGGTTGTATTGATATGTTTACAGTGCTTCATACTTTTTTCCCCTTCCATACGACCATGTCATGATTTCGGGTTGTTTCTGGGTTATTGTCCCGGTTTTCGTGTTGTATGCAGTATGAGATTATGCCTTTGATTTATTGCCATGTCTGTAATTTGACTTGGATGGTCCACGTCTGTTTTTTTTTTTCCTCTGCTGATGTTCCATACTTTCCAGGCTTGGGTTGCATTGTTCCTCGGATGTCCCCAAGTATAGTGGCATGGTTCTACTGGCCTACTACGAACGAGTCACATCAATTGACTTGAGCTGTTTTAGAGAGAGCCAAAAAAAAAACAGTGGGGCTATAAGAAACAGTCAAAAGGATCCAAAAAAATAGTTTCCCTGGGAATCGAACCCAGAACCTTTCCGGAACAGAATGCTAGTCGCATTTGTTAACGGAAAATCATAACCGCTAGACCAGGAAACTGCTCAGCCACTTGGGCTAATTGATGGAAAGGTGTTGCCACTTTAGGCTCTATTAATGAAGAACTTCACAATCACAACATCTATACGCCCTATCTCGACTATCTCGACTACGAATTGATATTCACCGCGAAAGTTGAAGTGAGTGGGTGGTTTGGTCTAGTATTAGTAACCGAGAAGTGGATCCATGTGAGGAGTTTGCGGCAACGACCACTACGTTTTTAGCAGGGCCAATTCAGCTCCATCTATATATTCTCGACATGCCCACGGGGTTGGTCGTATTTGAAGGAAGAACTACCTGGATCATATCTTTACCAATCCTCCCACATGATGACAACAGACTATATCTAAGATCTAGCCCTTCCCATCTGAGTTGATGACCACCACTCTCCGTGCCTCCAAGCTACTACTGTCTAATTGTTCCTGTTCCACCCCGGGCGTCTCAGCTACGTTCCAGTTGCCAAATACCGCGAGAAATGTGAATGGGATCGTAGCACCCCATAATGCAAAGCCCAGCGCCATCTGATTCAAGTTAGCCCAGTGTGTTGCACCGACTGCATAGGCAATCGTGCTGCCAATAGACTCCCACGATCTCAAAATGCCGGTTGTTCTGGCGATATCGCCATCTCCCTGCGCCCCCTTGATCTCGGCCATCAACCAATATATGTATGTCTGCAGCCCCTCATAGAAAAATCGGAAGAAAATATAGACGGTGAAAGCCGAGTTGAAGAAGGGACCATCACCCAAGTCGAAGGCGGGTGGTTCAGCCATGCGGGAGAGTTTCGTCTCGACGGTGGCATTCCAGGTCCAAGACCCTGTGACAAAGAGAACGACGACGATGTACACAATTTGAGATCGGGCTCTTCGAGACAAAAACTTCAGATCTAGGAACAGGCCCGTCGTTATGTTGGCGGCGGCGCCGACCACGGCTGTCAGGAAAGATGCAAGGGCTCTGGAGCGGACGGTGAAATAACCTAAGTCTCCCCGTTAGCGACATTTGCCGTTCTTTTCCTTTCGTCTCTTTTCCTTTTTTTTTTTTCATAATCGACAAAGAATGGAGATGTCATACTGGTCAAGTAGTTTCCCTGGTAAGTTGCACCAAACTGACCCGCGAGGAAGACCGGGATGAGGAGCAGCATATACTTATTGCGAAGTTGCTTCCAGATCGCACGAGCCTCGACAGAGAGACTTGTTATTTTCATATAAGGGATCTTGGTGCCATTGCTTCTGATAACATCCTGCGGCTGTGACAACAGCAACGCAAATGGAGCTCCGAGGGACGAAATGGCAACAAGCCCTAGGTACGTTGTGTAGGTGACCTTGCCAACATGCGCAGCGTTGACATTGAGAGCGAGAGATATCGCACCGCCAACAAGCGGTCCCATCTGCCGGATACTCATCCAGATTGCAACATAGCTAAACGTAAAGGTCAACTCAATAACAACAAGTCGATGGGTTGGTTGCTTCAACTTACCGACCTCTTTTCTCCTCTTCCGGATATCCAACTGCAATAGCAGCCTCACTAGCCCATAGAAGAGACGCTCCAATTCCACAAAGAGCAGCTCCAAGCAAGAGGAACCACTCGTTGCCATACCGATTGTTGCAGTACAGACCAGCCGCGTAGGGAGTGTAAAATGCGGCACCGATGCACAAGGTCCATTTGGCAGTGATCTTATTCGTGATGCCACCGGCAAGGAAACAGCCCACCGACATGAGTCCATACGTCAAGGCATTGGCCGCATTGTTCAGGTACGGCTGCACAGGACATTAGTGGTAGTTGCGCACGTCTCCAACACTCAGATGACTTACCTTAGCATTGCCCCCAGCTCCAAGATTATTGAGAGCGGTCCAGATACCAGGTTCACAGAAGGCGACCAATCCGACAATGATAATCTGGAATAGACATGACCGGTAGAGCCGGGCCAGAAGTTCGAAAGCCATACCTGGGGATGGCAGGTTGCTACATGGATCATAGCACCAGAGAGAGCTGCTAGTAGTACTACATGGCGATGGGTGCCCCGGTCGCATCAACTTGAACGAAGTAACATATCACGTCAGGACCCATAATGATCGCGACTCCTTGGTTTTATCTTTCGCCCGAGAAGCTCACGGCAGCTGAGGGGAGATCTGGTGTTAGCCTGTATGCTGGAGACAGTCGAAGAACCCCGAGTTATAATCAACATCGATAAGGGGAATCTTGGAAGGCAATCACCAAGATCCCAGTGATCACAATGGTGCAAAGTGAGCCATTGGTCTCCAAAAGCACGTAATACGAGTGGCGTGCCTCTAGGGTCGGGCCACGAAAGTCTTGTACACGAGGGATTTTCGGTGATCATAGTATCTCGGAGAAAGGAGGTGCTGTAAACTCACATTAATAGGACTAGTTTGTGGGTTTTATATACAGGGTTAGGAAAGATGTTTAGCCTACGGAGGAAAGCCGAGCTCTAATTTCCTAGTCCGTTGGAATCAGAAAATCAGACGCTTAAGGATTTTTTTTTTGTAGTTAATGCAGTTAATCACGTTGTCATTGTGCTAAAAAATCTAGATCAACCCCCTAGCATCGCTAAAATCACAATATTGTACACCTAATTTAACCTAGCAGCATTTCCGGAATCAAAAGCTAGCCATCTCAATCCAACTGGCCACAAATGCCAGTCGGCGCCCCCGATCAGCAGCCATACGACGTGAGAATTCTTCAAAGTTGAGTCTCGCACCGTTGCCACGCTCCTTGTTCTCACGTTCGACCTGGTCCAAATAGACCCACCGGGCTAGAGTCCGGGGTGAAGGTCGGCGTGGGGCAGGAGCTTCATGAGGCTGGTCATAAACGCGGTGAGGGGGTGGAAGTGGTTGCATAGGAGAGGGAGGAAGCTTGGGGGCTGTGGCTTCGGCTTCTGGAGAGGAGTGGGGAGAAAATGGGGCGGGGAGGGAGGTGGTTCCGGGCTGGAGTCGGAACTGAGGAGGGAGATCAGGGGTTGTGCTTGTAGTGGGTGATTCTTCGGGGTCGAAGTCTATGTCATCGATCACTTCTGGGGCCACCATGGATGGATCGTCAGGACGATGCTGTGGAAGGGTTATGTCGTAGTAAAGGGTTTCATTTTCAACAATCGGACTGGATGGCTCCGCACCATGTGCTTGAGAGGTAGCGACCTCATGGTCGTAATCAGACGAAGTGGCAGACGATGTGTCGGATTCGTCAAAGGGCCGCGCTCTCCCAAATCCAGTTTCTTCTCCGGGATTGGCGAGATGAGTTGGTCGCACGTCGTCATCATCCTCGTATTCATCTTCATCGCCATCACCATCTGAGGCGGTGGGGCCCAGCAACGACGGAGCTAATGCTGGTCCGGTACTGACAGACGCCAGGACTGGGCTCTGAATTCCGTAACCAGCGCGCTGTAATAGATCATCAAGTGGTCGGTCATTGATAGTCTCCTCGAGTTCCTCCTCAGCTGGAATGATCTCAGTTGCAGTGCGTTTTGAGGGGTCCTCTTTTCCTGCGAGTTCAATCTCCCGAGCCCAGACCTTGCGTTCAGCTCGCGTACGATGGACCTCCATCAAGAGGTCCTCTTTTGGCTTGAACAGAATATCTAGAAGCTCGTTAAATCCCTGTTGTGTGACTTGATACAAGATTTCTTTCCCGACGTCTTTCTCAATCTCTGGGATTTCAAAGCCACCCCATCGCTCGCCAACAGGGAAACTCCGCGACGAGGTTGATTGGTTAGATCGAATGTCGTACTCTGCGTCATTGAGATCATCCTGAAATCGCACCTTGGACGAGGACCGCGAACGGAAAGAGGGTGGGCGCGATTCGGATTCATCTGGGTCTTCATCGCTGGAGTCATCGATAGCTGGATCCCGTTCATATCCCTCAGGGACAGTGGCGCCATCTTCTTCGTCTGTATAGAAAGCCCGACGCCTCCAACGCTCGTCGATTCCACGTTGACGAGCGTCAAACACACGTCTCTGGTCATCTTCGCGCATTCTGTGACCAACAGCATCCGCGACACGAGCCCGATCAATTGGATCCGTGATTTCTCGAGCGGGAATATAGGACCCAAGTGCTTCGATGATATCTTCTTCGAGGATGTGTTCAGCTGGCCAAGTGCCACTGGCCACGGACGAACTAGATTGGTCTGACCCACTAGTCTCGCTAGCACCATCTTCGCCTTCTTCATCATTGTCATTTGGGCGACCCTCTATGGCATCCGACGGGCGAGGAGCAGTCTCGGTGGGTGCTAATCGTAGTGTGGATGGAAATAATGGTCTCATCCGACTGAACTGTGATCTGACGGCAGCATCACCCACGACCAAATGTCGATCACCAGTATCGTCTCCGTCCTGTCGCAAGATTCCTTCATTGTCGACGATTTCCATGTCTCCCTCAGGATTCATGCGCTTGCCTTCGCCTGTACGAGAACGTTCACCTGAAGGGATGCTGCCAGGGAATGCAGAGCTGATAGGCTGGCTACCGAGAACCACGTCACGGGCTCCACCCTCTAAGAAGTCATCTTCCATGCCAGCAACCATGTCCCTTGTAAGCTCCCGGCTCAGCGCATAGTATGCCCTGAAAACTCGAAGGAAGTCCTTGCGTTCGACGAAGCCATCCCCATCAATGTCGTAGCCCCGGAATACACGTCGCAGCCGTTCATCATTGCTATTATTGTTGAGACTGGCCAAGCCTTGAAGAAATTCTTCAAATCCGATAAGATTGTCGCCATTGGTGTCATAAAATGCGAACATTCGGTCGTAAATGAGACTCGGAGGCGGTGGCCGGATAGAAGTATTAGGCACAAAGCATCGGTCGAAGGTTTTGCGATCGATCGCCATATGCAACTTGTTCGGGTCGTCCGCCCACTCATAATTGGCCAAACAGCGGAACTGATCCCAAAGTGCATCAAGCTCAGTGTTTTCGAAATTGCAGTCTTTCATCAGACGTTTCGCAAGAGGGCGGGGGAGACTGCGTGGGAGCATTGAAGGCTTTCCAGGATACCACACAGGCTGAGATTGACGAGGGCTTCCTAGGAATGGGGCTGGAATCCGCACTTTGTAAAACAAATGTGTCTTGATGTGGACCTGCATTGCCTCGCACGTCTCACACAAATCGTAGTCAATGCAATTGGCACATCGGTATCTGATACCCTGAATCGGCATGGCACCGCAGCTGTTGCAAGTAACTCCGCGGTGGATATAGCCGTCTCTCCGCGCCTGATCTTCAGCAATGTGGTAGAGTAGATTGAGCAGGTTTTGGCCTTCCCTATTAGAAGGATCATTGTTTCCGTCACGCCATGAGAAGACACTTTGGTCATCCACCACCGTCTCACCTCCGTCAAGATTTTGTGGGGGCGCAGACACATCTGGGAAGGTAGAGGTTGAGAGAGTGACACGTTCACCATTCTGTCGTCGCCGACGCAACTCCTCCCCGTAATTCGCATCTCCGTTGAACCGGATGAGAGCCCTTTCGATACCAGCTCGGGAGATACCTCGGTGTTGAAGTTGCTCTGTCAAGTATGTTCGTTCTCGGGTGTTTTCGGGAAGGATGTGCGCAGATGGGAAATCGAGGGCAAGGAAGGATTCCAGAAACGTATCTTCCATCATCTCACGCATGCGCTCTGCATGGGCAGGCGGGACCCCAACCTCTTCCATCAGCTGGTCGCGTGTTGCGAGGAGGGAGGGAAGAAGACCGCTCTCCACGCGACGCCCGTCCTCCGTCTCAATGCGAAATGTCCCATATACCCCGTTCTGACGCTCTAGTTGTTCAAGGTGGGTGATGGCTCGATAGGACGGAGTATCAGTAATCTCAGGTTCTTCAGCTTCGGTTGGTCTCGTGCGGCGCACAGCATTTCGACGTCGAAGTGAAGTTGATGATGGCTGCGAAAGAACATTATTGTGTACGTAGATAATCGCATAAGCAGCAGCAATACCAGTAAAGAGATAGAGGATAGGTCGATATCGTGCAAGCGAGACTGGCCCTGAGCGCGAGTCAGACATGGCGGAGATTTGGCCCAAGTTGAGCTAGCGGAGGCGCAAAAACGTCAGGAACAGAAAGTGTGGCGCATTCTGATCACAGCTGGACAAGCAGATCAAGTCAGACCCGCAGAGTGGCAATCTAGATACTCAATTGGAATGGAAATGACAGTCAATTTGAGAAAGGTATTTCCAAGATTGAAACGTCCACCGGTTGATGGATGACGTAATCTTATAAGCAAATCAGGCCGCTAACTAGTCAAGGCCCCAACATTCGTTAGGGACCACAATGAGGCCAAGCCTTCATCACGTTGTCTGGAACGTGACTAACTACGGATGAAGCTGACTTGAAAATCAAATTAAGAATTGTCCGAACTGGGCCTCCCAGACCCATTTTGCAATCTCTTCAAGTTCTTCCCTTTCAACCGTCAAATCAAATTCTCTAGGGGGGTTCTGGTGGTCGTAGGAACAGGGATTCAAAGGCAATAGTTGGTGGATCCCCAGAGACTCTGACTTCATCACTGGCATTGCTTTCCCGTATCTCGATTTGCTGAGTCCTTTGTGTTTGACCATTTACATGGTCCCATTTACATGGTCCCACTCGTACTTCTCGATAGTGATACTTGGCTAGGTTCTGCTTGCCTTGATGGCGATTGCAATGTTGGCGTTGCCCCTACTGGGGTCGAGCCATAACTCGATATCACGCTGCAACCTTGCTCTAGTTTGCGAGATGGCGATTTCCGCAACCACCGTAGGCCACCTGTTAGTGCCACGAGGGACTCGTCTGGGGCCCAACCCCCAGTCTGGCTGTTTCGACGTGCCATTAACATCGATGTTGACTTCGGTGTAGGAAAAAGTTGCCCTGTCAAGCCCCATCTGTGTAAGAGCACTATCAATGGCTTTATCAAAAGCCTGAACCACGTCGTGATGTTCTGGGGTGACCATTTTGATGATCAAAGTAATTGGTTTCTGGGTTGAAAGTACAACGGGTACCACGGATCCCAGGGATTGGCATCGCGTCGGGATTGAGAAAATCGGTTTGGAAGGTGCGGGCATCGATAAAAAAAAGACGATAAACTCGCAGAGGTCCATCGAGAGGCGAAGACGTTCGCGCTCAACGCTCAGGATTTGAGCAAAGCGTTCCTTCCCTTGATATTGATACCGTCTAATAGACCGAGGTAGACCCTCCGAGTCGTAGTCACATCCATTTTGGTTGAAGTGGGAAATTCTTGACTACTTGAATTAATTGGTACTTACCAGTCAAGAGATATAAGGATTATCATAGAAGACCAAGTCATCAACGTTGTTTTCCCAAGTTCTGGCATCTTTGGAACGGCCGCTGTCTCTTTTTGGCTTCGTAAGCTGCACTTGAGTTGTAGTTCCTTAGTCACATCATAGTTACCTATATGATGTGCAAGACAATAGAATTTTTGCAAAAGCCAGATGAGAAAGCTGTGATATCTTCCAACTCTTGCAGCATACTATGCTTACCCCTTTTAGCTGATTCGTGTCCTGGAATCTATATTCCTTTCATGATTGAGTTTTGGAATAGATGCAAAATCTTTATTTATGTCCAGTGTGTCTTCTTTGGTGTATGTTAAGTAAACGTTGTATGCGATGAATATAAACAGTCTTCAAGCCAACCTCAATGCTAGATAGATCATCTGTCATAGCAATTTCTACTAAAGTGCGTCGCTTTTCAACGAATGCAAATCTGCATCTTTTTTTTTTAAAGTCTAGAGCTTCATCTGTAAATCAGCGGTTGAGTTTGCTTTCCCGGATGAAATAGCTGCTCAACAAAGCAAAGAACACCACACAAACCAAAAACGCGAATCCCTTGTTGGTGGACCAGCCATATGAGTCTCGGACAATCCTGGCGGTTGCTGGGTCGAGGGTTTTGATGAAATCCAGACTTTCTCGCACTCCTTCAACAATCTGATCGATGTTCTTACTGTCCCGTAGCCCCGATTGCAATCGATTCCGTAAGACTTGCTGAACGACAGTTGATGATAGAGAGAGACCAATCACGGATCCCAATGAGCGGAACAGATATGAGCATGCTGTGACGACCGCCTGATCTTCATGAGGAGCATTCGATACTAGCGGAGTGGTCAGCATACATCGAAGGTTTGTAGAGTAATACCAGACCAAAACCTACTCAAACCGATTAAGGTTGTAGTGACACCAATGCCATTGCCGAAAGCTGACATTACCATTCCGCAGATCATCGGAACTATGCTAGTCATCACACCACCGGAGAACAGGTAAATACAGAGCACACCAGTTGTCAGGAAAGCATATGCAGCAACTGTCAGCCAGTAATACTTGCCACTCCATTTCATCAACAAGCCTGCAAACACGGATCCAAAGACACCAGATAGAATGGACGGCAATAAGCGCAGCCCTGCAGTCGTGGCAGAGACACCATCTACTGCTTGGAAGTATAGAGGAATATAAAACAGGGCGGCAATCCATCCCCCAAAGCTGAAGAAGTTGCAGCTGTAGCAAGCAAAGAAGGTTCGGTTGAAGATGATATGACCAGGCGCAAAAGGTTCGGCTGCGAGGTAGATCTCCACTAGGATAAAGACTACAAACAAGACAGCGGAGACACCTAGCGAGGCAATTGTCAGGGGTAATTTCCATGAAACATTGCTACCACGATCAAGACCAATTAGGAAACCAAGAACGGCGCCAACCAGGACTACGGCGCCAAGGAAATCGATGCGCCGTAGCTTGGTCTTCCAGTGGGCGCTCTCACGAGCGGGCAGCTCGAGTAGGAACGATACAGCAATGAATGCAATAATGCAGAGAGGAAATTGCGTTAAGAATGCCCTAGAAAAAAACGTCAGATGGCGTAAGGACATGTGGGTCTTGCATCATTCATACCAGCGCCAGCCAATGTAATCGGAGAGAATTCCACCCAAGGGTGCACCGGTACCGGCACCTGTGGCATATATGATATTGATGATGCCTTGCCACAGACCTCGATCACGAAGAGGAACAAGATCACTCATCAAAATGCTGACGACAGTGGTCATACCACCACCACCAATGCCTTGGAAGACCTATTCGAAAAAGTCAGCATTGCACAATTTAGGCTTGAGATCATATGCAAACATACACGAGCAGCAATCAATTCATTGATGTTCCGAGCCAGACCGCAGCCCAAGCATCCAATACCAAAAATTGCATATGCAAAGAGTAGACAAGGCTTTCGACCAAAGATATCGCTCAGCTTGCCGTATAAAGGCTGGAAAGAGGTTAACGTGAGGAAGTAAGAAGTAGCAATCCAGCTGGTAAGGTTGAGAGCTTGGAGATCGCTACCAATCTGACCATAACTGGCCATGATAATTGTCTGATCTGCCGCTGACAAAAAGATCTATACATCCCGTCAGTTACAACTCTGATTTTAGATGACGGGATTGATGGGCATCGAGAGAGTATCCATACTCCAAGCGAGACGGCAGGCACAATGTATTTAAGCTGCTTCTGCGCATCATAGAACGGCTCTTTGCCTCGCTCCTCTGTCTGGACTGGATCCCCTAATTCCACATGGTGATCGGCAATCGTGCCGTTGGATACAATGCCGTTGGCCGACGCGGATCCCAGCAATGGGGAATTCTCGGTAGGGGACGTCTCTGGAGCCATTGTCGAAAATCTATAGTCACTCAAAGTCAAACTGACTTGATTGAAAGCCTACAGGGAAAGAAACAAAAGAGGAAAGCGAAAGCATCTAAAGCCCACAAACTCTCCACGTGAAGATAAGAGGCCCCTCAACCCGGGGCGCCCGGGGCCCGACTTATCCGGTTCACCCAATCAAATGTCCCCCATTCTTCGGGCTTATGCCGCCAGACCTTCGATCTGCAACGACATCGGCAAACACTTGTTTGGGCTACGGCCCTATGCTGTGCTAGTTTGATACATCACTCCAGTTGTCTCCAATTATAGAACTATGCTGATAGGCGTTGAACGGTCGTAAATCCAGTTGCTAAATAGGTATCTAAATAGATGCAAATATTTCCAATCAACTTCTGATTCCCCAAGTTTATGCCGTCGAAGGCATAGGAACTGGCCCACCAGGTGAGTCAGCCAGACGGGCAGTCAGCACCTCGACACCATCCTCAGTCACGAGAAGGGTATGCTCGAACTGGGCCGACAAAGATCCGTCTTGGGTGGTGCTGGTCCAGTCGTCGGGCCAAGTGCGGTCACGGTGAGTACCAATGTTGATCATGGGCTCAATCGTGAAGCACATACCAGGCTTGGCAGTGCCCACAGCCTTGTTCTTAGCGTAATGAGGAATGTTGGGCGCACAGTGGAACAGCTGGTTGATACCGTGGCCGCAGTAGCTTTTAACGACACTGCAGTTACGGCTCTTGGCGAGCTTCTCAATGACAGTGCCAGGGTCGCGGAACAGCATGCCAGGCTTGACGAGGTCAATTGACTGATCTAAGCATTCACGTGCGGTTTCCACCACTCGGACGGCGTCGGGGTTCGCAAGTGCCTTGTCTCCAACATAGTAGGTCTCGTTGATATCGCCGTGGAATCCATTGTGATACAGAGTGACATCGATGTTGACAATGTCTCCGTCCTGCAAGGGCCGTTGATCGGGAATACCGTGGCAGATGGTCTCGTTGACCGAGGTACATACGGACTTGGGGAAGTTCATGTAGTTCAGCGGTGAGGGGTAGGACTAAGAGATATGTCAGTATGGTATTGCGCACTAGACGGTAACTCCTCGCACATCACGCTCGATACAAGCCTTGTGGACAACCTCGTCGAGGTAGTCCGTTGTGATGCCAGGCTTCAATTCACGTGCAGCAGCATCCAAAACCTCACGAGCCAATCGGCAAACCTTGCGCATACCCTCTTGCTCCTTCTTATTCAAGATGGTGATGTTATGACGACCGATAAGCTTTTGCTCGGAGCGGGGAATACCATCGCGGGCATAGTCCGGGTGTGGGATCGCCTTGGGAACCGTTCGTTTGGCGGACAGCGGATATACTGGCCTCAAAGAACCGCTGTAAGGGAAGGATGGGTAGGGATTGAAGGTCCCGGTGGCTGGATCTGGTTCAGAAACTACCTTCGGAGGGAAAAGATTGGTGAGGATATTACTCTTTTTGTGAATGCTCTTATGTTCGCTCTGGAGCAGATGGTCAGCCCTTGGTCCTCCGTATTAAAGGGTGCCTATATTGCGCATATTACAGTCACACCAGAGTGCCTACATACCCAGCTTCGTTTGAAACAGTCCTGCGAACAGAAAAAACTGTCCGTGCCGCTCTTGAGACATGTCGGACATTGTAGGGTGCCTGCGTCGTTAGGGCAGTCAACACCCCGGCATTTGCGATTGGCAACTTCAGCCATATTGGAAGATCAGAAGCGAAAAGAATACAAAAATTGAGGGAACCTGTAGTAAAGAGTGGATTCAATGGAAGCCAAAACTTCGAGAAAATCCCCGCCGGCCGGAAGGCAATATGGAGCTAAGCCTCATTTGGACTAGCACAAAAATGGCTGGTGGTTGCCTGAGGCACCAAGGCAGCACTAAGGCAACCCAGGAAATGACTAATGTCCATTTTGGAATATTGCGATCTCGCTGCACGTGATGACGACTTGCTCTTCCGTTTTAACACGTACCTGTCTTGATTCTGGACATTGACCAGTTACATGATGGCCATTCCAAGGCAGAAAGTGGTTGTTGTGGGTGCTGGCCCAGTCGGATCTTTGGCAGCCCTATATGCTGCGTCAAGAGGCGATGAGGTGGAGGTATATGAGCTCCGTGGAGGTATGTTTCAATGCCTTGTGTGACCTTCTTTTCTTTTTTTTCACCTTTTCGTGGCCGCCATTGAGAGCAACCTGATTTTCAAGAGAGGCGGTGCACGTCTTTGGCCGGAATTGGCTGGCTCTTATCAAGCCGGCCTGTCTCACAAGGTCCCTGTCTCAGCCCTTCAATAAAGAGAAAACCACCCTGATTAATCATGGTCACCATCTGCTACTTAATTCGATTAACCCCCTGCACTTGTCATGGCTCAGTTGTGATTCCTTGCGAATTCTTCCGAACTGACCCCGATAATCCCTGCGCCTCCGTAGATCTCCGGGACCCTACGACTGTGCCATTGAACTTTACCAAGTCTATCAACTTGGCACTCTCCGAACGTGGCATTACATCCATGAGACATTCTGGTCGGGATGATTTGATCGACAATGTCCTGCATGAAGCGATCCCCATGCATGGGCGGATGATCCACGGGCGAGACCGTGGAGATCTGTGGGAAGCTGCACAGGCCTATGATGTTCACGGCCGGGTATGCACCGATCACCTACTTAACAGTCGTTATTGCTATTTGCCCTGCAGTTGATAGCTAACTACTCCTATAAGGCTATTAATGCTATCGACCGAGGAACTCTCAATAACTCCCTCCTAGATGAGCTGGAGAAGACTCCCAATGTCAAGCTATTTTTCAACCACAAGCTGACGGGTGCTGATTTTCGCACCAACAAAGCCTGGTTTGAGCGCAGAATCCCTGGCGAGACACCCACGGCCGATGATGCCGGTATAGCTGGTCGAGTACCGGAGATCGAGGTGTCCTTCGACTACCTCATCGGTGCCGATGGGGCACACTCCGCCGCACGCTTCCACCTGATGAAGTTCGCTCGTGTCGATTACCAACAAGAGTACATCGACACTCTCTGGTGCGAGTTCCGGATTCCACCGACGGAGGATGGAGACTTCCGTATCTCGCCAAACCACCTTCACATCTGGCCTGGACGCGAGTTCATGTTCATAGCGCTACCATCTGCCGATAAATCATTCACATGCACCTTATTCGCACCATCCTCGCACTACAACTCCCTCGAAACCTCGCAACAGGATCTGCATGAATTCTTCGACTCCCATTTCCCCGGTGTATGCCCAGAACTAATCGAGCCCGCGGCATTGAGTGAGCAGTTTGTGGAAAACCCGCACCTCCCACTGATCAGCATCAAGTGCAACCCCCACCACTTCAACGCCAGCGTCGTCATTATTGGCGATGCAGCACACGCAGTCCTGCCATTCTATGGACAGGGACTGAATGCCGGTCTTGAAGATGTCCGGGTCCTCTTCGAGGAACTGGATAGACATGGAGTCTACGACCCAAATTCAAGCGTCTACACACGCGGTCTCAAGCGCCAGGCAGCTTTTCAAGCTTACACAGACCAGCGCTGCGCTGATACGCATGCCATCAACAATCTATCGAAGGAGAATTATCTCGAAATGCGCTCGGGCGTCAAATCGCCGCTCTACAAGCTGCGTAAGACAATCGAAGAAACTGTTGACCGCTATTTTCCGTTCTTTGGCTGGAGAACGCAGTACGCTCGTGTCAGTTTCAGTAACCAGCGGTACTCGGAGGTGATCGAAGCTGTTCAACATCAGAGTCAGGTGCTTGGTCTTGGATTGACTGGGGCTTTAGTTGCTGCTGTTGCTGCTGTATCCATCCTGATGTGGAAATACCCTCGGAATTTCTCGCTAGTAGGGTTGGTTCGGTGCTCGCGGCATCTGGCTTGTGTCGGGTTGAGGTCCATTCGGAAGTTGATTCATATGTAAAGCTGCTTTGGTGGAGGGGTGGAGACAATTTTCATGGCTTTTGGCGGACTTTTCGTGCATCTAGTTTATACGCGAGTAGCTTAGCATGAGCAGCAGACTATGGTAGAAAAGCATCGAGAGCACAAAATCGAAATAATACAAGATCAAAGTCCGAATTCTTGATCACACTAGTATTAACACCTGACAACCGGAAGATCCTCTAATCCCAAAACCTGATAGCACCATCCAATCCACCAGTGACAACTTTACTGGACTCATGGGGATGCCAGTCCAGACAAGTGACAGCACCACCTTCCTTCCCTCCAGCCTGAATCTTGTGGTACATCTTCCCAGTCTTCCAGTCCCAGAAGCAGACATAACCACCGCTGTCACCGGAAACAAGGAACTGGCCATCAGGCGAAATCTTGAGGTCGACAGCGTACCCGGAAGTATTATGCCCAACAAAGCGCTTCTTCCGGTTTTGGCGGAATTTGTCCGTCGCGCTGTAGACGACAATCTGGTTGTCGCCTGACTGGAAAGCGACATATTTGCCATTCGGATGGGGCGTCGCACGGGTGAGCGCGAACATGTATGGCTCTGCGATGAACTTGATCGGGACAGGGATGCCGTATTCCCAAGCGCGCAGCGACTTGTCGTCTGAGGTGGAGATGAAGCGGCGGTTGTCATCGACAAAAGTGAGGGTGTTGACCGCTGCCAGATGGTGGTCATACTCTTGGACCAGCTCGCCGGACCGGGTATCAAACTGTACAATCTTCTTGTCGGACATACCAGCCAGGAACTCGTGTGAGCGATCTTCGCCGGGGTTGAAACGGACAACGTGCGGTGTCTTGCCCGTGGAAAACCGGCCAAGGCACTTGCCGTATTCGGTATCCCAAAGCTTGATCTGTCGGTCATATGAACCGGTAAGGAAAGTCTTTCCCGATGGGTGGAAGTCTGTGTCTGATATTGCCTTGGTGTGGCCGGAGAAAGTCCGCAAGAGTTCCCGAGAGTGATACACATCCCAGAGCTTGGCCTTTCCATCGGCGGCTGACGAAAGCAGCAAGTGGCCAGATTTGGGAATGAACCGAAGGGAGGTGATCGGTTTGGTGTGCGACTTCCAGGTTTGCACAAGCTTTTTTGGTACGTAGTTCTTGGTGGTGCCAGGCTCTTTGCGCAAATCGATATCCAGGTCCTGGGGCACGTGCATGTATGTCCGGCCCTGGTAGTCGTACTGTTCTGATCCGTGGAACTCGGTGGTTTCTTGCGTGGCAAGATCACCTTCGTAGGCGGTGGCATCCTTGCTCATGGCCGGCATAGGCGCCGTGGTAGTCAGAGTCTCGTCTTCCTCCTCGACAAATTCCTCGTCGCTACGTAGTTCGCGCTGATCTCCTTCGGCAACCTCCACATAGTCATATTGCTGATCATTTTGGTATTTGGCCCAGGGTCCCAGGTATGCGCCCTCTCCTTCCACAATACTGGAGTCGCCCTTCTTTTGCCGCTTTGTTCGCCAGTTTGCGGATGCGCTCTTGGTTGGCTTGATTTGCACAACATCCCGGCCTCCATATAGTGCCGCATTTTGGAGGTTTCCGATGAATTGGTCCGGTAGTGTCGGATTGCGCGTGTATCCCAGACTCTGGAACGTGCGATGTTGCGCAGTAAATGTTGACTCGCTGATGGCTGCCTCTTCGGCAAATCCTGTCGGAACATTCTTTCTTTTGATACCGTTTCCCGGGCCTGCTGGCTTAAACGGGTTCACAGGGCCCTGGGAGGGCTTCATAAGATCATCGTATGTGGCATTGTAGGTGAGGGCTTGGGATGAGGCGTTGGCGAGGGCCATCTGCATGTGCGCTTGGTCCTATAGGATCATTAGTCTCATCTGTTCGCCATGGCTGAGCTACAAAAACCCAAAAAAGATCCGGGAGGAGGGTGAATGTGGGGGACCAAACCTCTGTATTGACCTCTGGTGCAGCAACGACCTTGGTCGCGGTCGTCACAGACGAGGGCATAGCTGTGGCGTCATCATCATCGCTGGAGTCATAACCAAGACCCAATAAGGCGGACATGACTGATACGCCAAAGAGAGTAAGAATGCGCAGACCTCAATGCCCCTTTGCAACAACGCTGGGGTTAAATGTGGTTGGTAAATAACAGGTGTGGTGGAGGATGGGAATTTTACGGGCGTCGGGAGACTCCCTACATGAAGGCCGCGGAACAGCCACCGCAGACAAGCTCGCCTCAATGCAGCTTCAATGTTAGTTTTGGTGCATATGTTGAGTATGGCTATTATTTTCTACTCTGGTTACAGTTGTTTGATGGTCTTGATATTTCTCAACAAGAAAATCATTTAAATGTTAGAAATCTTGGGTATCGTACGCTCTTCATTGCCAACCGCATGGGAGGTATATACAACTCAACAGGCCGAAAGACACAGCAAGATTAACACAGAAGAAGAGAATGAAAACAAAAAAAAATGATAGCAAAAGAACACATGCACTACGAGTCAATCATACAGTGTCTCGAATCGATCCAACTCACATCCCCAGCTCGAGACACTTCCAAGGAAAAATCCATTACTTCTCAATGCTGTAGTCCTACCAGCAATTAACTCAAGACTGAAGGAATTCGTTGCTCATCGATAGTCATGGCCGCCGAAAAGAGAAGAAACCATATCGATATACTGGGTTGCATGGTATAGCGGCCGTGTTGGGGCTGCGGTCATTTTCGAGGGTTGCGTGACAGGCCGAGAACGTCCAGTGAACACTGACCCAAGCACTCATGACAACAGCTTATCCACAGACGGCTCCTCGATCTAGCCGGAACGACCATGATGCATCGCATTTTCGGTCTTTCCCCGCAGTCAGTGGCCCTCATCGCGGATCAGGGCAACAATCATGCTGTAGAGGTAGAAGAAGAACATGAGAAGATGGAAGCCAAGCTTGATGAAGGATTCCTAAACAAATTTTCGAGTCAGTCACTGCGCTGCAGGTTACGAGCTAGAAACAAAACCGACCTTCTTGTGCACGTTCAACTTGCGGAATATCTCGGTCGCATCTAACAGGTGCTGGTTTTCGTAGATCCTACATTTTCGAAAACGACTCGGTTAGCCTTGTGCTGAGGGGGGCTTGCGACTAGTCGGGGAGCTTCTAACGTACTTCTTGGCATTGAACAACACGAGGGGCAGATTCAGCGCGAGGGCGAGCCAGTACCCGTTGATCAAGAAAAGGAAGGTCAGGAACGCGTGGACAGCGGCTTCGGGGATGATGTAGGCATTAAGGCGGTTGCAAAGGTCGATAGGGTTGATGTAATCGCTGGAGAAAAAAAAAGAAAATATCAGCTTGTATTCTACAGCATGGGTAGACCCAATGCAGTTGCTTGGGACATATGACTGGAGATACTCACCACTCGAGATCACTGTACATAATCGTGAAGAACACCTGGAGGAAGAGGTTGATGGCGTTGATCAACACCGACAACAGGTAAAGCCATGCTTCGCCGGACATCATGGCGAGTTTGACGTTTCGTCAAGTATAATTGGCAATATTTCAATAGCTAAACAGATGATATGAGTAAACTGCCTGCGGCAAAAGTGGTTGAGGTCAAGGTGGATTGAAGAAGCCGGAATTGGAGATGTTTGTGGGGTTCTGCGGCCCAAGGAAAACAGAGGAATCACACAGAGTCAGTCTCCGGAGAGGGGTCAAAGCTCACTCACAAATATGAAGCTAAATGCACTTAAGCTGGCGGAGATGAAAAGAGCAAACTAAGTAGGGATGAGGTTTGATCAAAAGAGGGAGTTTCAAGAGATTAGCGAACTGCGGCCGAACCTGAACGGGTCGGCGGTGTCGAGAGGGCTGGTCATCATTAGCGCAACCCGCAAACGGGGCTGGTAACGTACATGCTGTACTCCGAGTAGAAACAAGCTTCACGATGCCGGACTCGAAATCAATCCCAATGGTTGTTGAAGACTGGGTTGGTTACTGAGTTCATTTGCTGAGGGACGCGAGAGACCAAGCTTTGGAAGGTTTGCACAGGGATACCCAACACGTGCACATGGAAGATACACGATGTCTAGCTCCGGAGACTAGATTTACCTGACTACAATGTTGTTGATTTTAAGAACAAAAAAAGCAGGGGATCGTGAAGAATAGAGGTCTTGTCTATACACATCATGACAAACTGTAGGTCGCAGCATACGAGCTTCTAAGCGCCTTCAGAGAGCCACCTTGAATCCTCGTCGTAATGACCGCAATACGCCAAACAATGTCGGATAAGGACAAGGACAAAGTCGGACCTGAGGCCAAAACACTGGATCAATGAAAACGCTCTTGATGGTATGACACCAGTGTAAAGTAACAGAAAAGGACTGGCTCATCGCTTTTCGACAAGTAGGAAATGCATTGCACTGTATGCAATGATGAGGAAAGACCCAGAGATAACAGCCAGCCCGATAACATCGCTCCAGTAAGCCTGTGTATCAAAGCCGAATGCGCTTAAAATAGAGGCACCGGGAACTTCAATATCCAAACCGTACTTGTGATCAATCAAGGTGAGGAAAGTCACTTCGTTTACAATCAAGGCCTCAAAGCCATAGTGGAAGATGGAGAGCTAGTGCTATTGTTAGCAGGGTAATCTTTGCTTCAATTATCGAAAAACTCACAGTCTGTAACCACAATGCTGACTTGGGGATGGCATCGTGATTCAGCAGGAGACCGGCGAAGAGCAAGCTGAAAAGCATCACCAGACTACCGATAAGATTCGCCACTCCACCATCCCGGAAAATGATACCGATGAAGAGGCAGATATTGGCGGCCGCAAGATTGAAAAGGACCAGAACCAGCAAAAAGCGGAAGAATTCAGGCCATGCCGGAATCAGACCCGTCATGGGGTATACAATGATGCCCATGATGAAGGGAGGAATCAGCCTCAAAGGAACAATATCAAACATGACCTTTGACGCAAAGTATGTGACCGGGTGATAGTAACCATTGGCACGCTCACGTACAAACAAAAGCCGCTCCGCGGAG